TCCTGGTTTAGAGTAGAGTTTAAGGCTAGCTTAGAAAGCTTAGTGATAAATAAAAAAATAACAAAAATTACAAAATGTAGGTTGCATCTAACAACCAGAGCATGCATTAGGAAAGACTTCAGTATATAGATGTGAGAGAAGACAGCTGCTATGTAAATTAATTCAGAAAGGATCAGAGCCTTCGTGGTGCCGAGCTGTTTCCCCAGCTCGATAGCGAACTTCCACTCTCAGGAATGCTTTTTTCCCTTAACAAAACTGCCTTTATTTCTAGCCCTTAAAAAAAAAAAAAAAAAAAACTACCAAAAAGCCAGAGGGTGTGTCTATTGATAAAGAACTTGTCCAGTATGTGTGAGATCCTGGGTTCAATCCCCAGTATTTCAAAAGGAAAACAAAACCAAAAAAGCTGTAATTATAACCAGACTACAATGGGTGTGCTGGTGCTTGCCTTGAGGCATGCAGGTGCAAGGTCAAGGGCATTCTGGTCTACACAGCACGTTCCGGACAGCCAGGGCTGCTTGGAGAAATCCTGTCTCAAAAGAAATCAGGAATGGAGGGGAAAACAAAACAAACAGGCAAACTAGAAACTGGCTAGGATAGGTGTGGGGGTGTGAGTGCTGGGATCCTAAGCCTAGTTTTTCAAGCTAGTTGTATGAACATCGGAAAGGTCATTGGAAGGGGTTAATGTAATGAATCCTCTTTTGGACATTTGTCTGTGAAACGCTGGCAACATTTGGCAATAGTGCCTAGCATGGATACCTCAGAGGCAAGGAGGAGCTCCTCTGTGAAAGTCTCGTGGGGGGGGCGGGGGTGGACGACCCCAGTCATGTTTCTTTATTTCTGCTGTACCACTGGAGAGGCCTGCACCTAGAATTCTAGCAAGTAGGCAATAATAATAACAACAGTAGTAGCAGTAGTAAGAAGAAAAAGGAGGAGGAGGAGGAGAAGAAAATGAAAAAAGACGGGTCCAGTCTGTCTTGAAAAAGGACTAGAAAGAGCTTATGAGACTGTGCAGTAAGTAAAGCCTCAGCACACCTGGGATTCACTCTTCTAGTATGAAGGCAGAGAACAGACACCTAAAATTGTCACCTGACCTCTACATGTACACCTCGGTATGCCATATACTCAATAAATAAATTGGGTCAGGTTTTTTGTTGCTGTTGTTTGCTTGTTTTTGATAAGGAAAAAAAGAAGCCTAGTGAAGTCCTGTTTTCCTGAATATACCCAGCATTGGGCAATCCACCTGTGTTGGGAGACCTTATGACACATCGTCTGTTCCATACTCAGCAGAAGCAGCTGTTGACCTTACCCCTCCACATTGGTAGTAGTTGCAGGGATGCCCACCTGTCCCCTGCCATCACCAAGTAATGGCATTATGAATATGTATAAGCTGCTTATCTGCCAGTCCTCTATACCCAGCGGCTGGATAAGAGCACTGGCTGCTCTTCCAAAGATCCTGGGTTCAATTCCCAGCACCCACATGATGGCATACAACTGTCTCTAAGTGTAGCCCCATGGGATCAGATGTCCTTTTCTGGTGTGCAGATGTACATGGAGAGAAAATACTCATATATACAAAATAAATAAGTCTTTAAAAAAATCTAAAATAAAAATGTGTTACAATCAGAGAATCAGAGATGGGGATGTATATATATATATATATATATATATATATATATATATATATATTCAGTGGTAGAGCACTTGCCCTAGTTTCATCCTTAAAGGGGTATCGGTGAATTTGGCAAATGAGTAAATATTACTCAGTTTAATCATTTGAATAATAGTGAAAAATAGACTGGAAAGAAAATAGCAGATTCTCCAAATGACAAGGGAAACTAATGAAAAAACCTGGGCATTGGTTGCTACTACCCTCTGTTCCAAGAAACTAATCATCAAATGTACCAAATTAGGTAAAAGATAGTAGCATAAAAATTCAAGAAACTAGCTGGGCGGTGGTGGCGCACGCCTTTAATCCCAGCACTCGGGAAGCAGAGGCAGGCGGATCTCTGAGTTCGAGGCCAGCCTGGGCTACAGAGTGAGAGCTAGGAGAGGTTCCAAAGCCACACAGAGAAACCCTGTCTCGAAAAACAAAAAACAACAACAAAAAAAAAAAAAAAATCAAGAAACTAAACCAGGTGTGGTGGCACATGCCTTTTATCCCAGCACTCGAGACACAGGTAGATCTCTTGAGTTCAGTTTAGGCCAGCCTGGTCTACAAGCTAGTTCCAGGACAGCCAAGACTGTTACACAAAGAAGCCTTGTCTTGAAAAACAAAACAAACAAACTGAATTGATAATTCGAAACATGTGAAAAAATGTTCAAACATTTCATAGCTAATAAACTCCTGTTTTCAAGTTAGCAGGAACTTCTAGAAACAAAGATAAAGATCTTGAAAGCAGCAGAAAGGGACTGAGGACTCTTTCAGGGAATGAATGACAGCGTGTTTGTTTCTGACAGAAACCGGAGCACATGCAATGCAGGAGCAGGTGTTTTCTCAGGGCTAACAGGAAATCAGTGACAATGGCTAACAGTGATGGCAAAGCTGTCCAGGAATAGAAGAGACAGAAATTCTTTTAGAGTTTATTTCAAGGACAAATAAGAGCATTTGTATCTGGTGGACAGACCCTTGGAAACAGCTAACAGAAAATCTCCCAAAAGGTGAGATGAGATGTAACAGAAGGAGGCTTTGGATTTGGAGTTTCAACAATGGAAGAACAACAGTAGATAAAAAGGTATAAATATTATAGACTGTCCTCCTAATGAGTTTTTAAACCACATTTGATTAACAGAGCAAAAACTCTAGTATTATCTGATATGAGGCTTACAATATGAATAAGAAATAAATCTGACACATTTTATGCCCATATGTTGGTGTGTGTGCAGGTGCATATTACATATTTATATGGAGGCCTGAGAACAATTTTAGGTGCCATCCTCAGGAACACCATCCACCTCCTTTGAAACAAGGTCTCTAGTTGCCCTGAAGCTCACCATTGGCTAGGCTGCCTGGCCACTTTCTACTTCCCTAGCACTGGAATTACAAGCAGGCATTTCCCCATGGATTGCAGGGACCAAACACAGGTCTCCATGGACCTGCTTTACCTACTGAGCTATCTCCACAGCCCTCGGACATTGTATTTTAAAGTGGGGTTAGGTGTTCAGAATAGAGCTCAGCAGTCATGTGTTTGCCTAGAATGTTCGAGTCGTAAGTTCCACTGCAGAAAATCAAAGTAAAGTGGGGGTAGGTCATGGATCGTAAGTGGAAATCAAAGTTCAGTAGTTTGTTCTGTTGTTCTGTCTCTGTTGCTGTTAGTACTAGATGCGTACAGCAACTACTGAGCAGTTGTACAAAGCAATGAATGAATTTCTAAACTGTTTGAGAAATTTTGAAAGATGTTCGTATAGTCCATATGATAGCAGGAAAAGAGGATCCAAGATAAGAACTCTCAACTCTTTTTGTCTTTTCTTTCTTCCTTTAAGATTTGTATTTTTATTTCATGGGTGTTTCTGCCTATATGTCTATGTATTATGTGTATGCAGTGCCTGTGGATCCCCTAAAACTAGATCTATAAGCTATAACATGGGTGCTGGGAAGCAAATGTAGGTCCTCTGCAAGAAAGGTCATTGTTCTTAACCTTTGAGATATCTCCAACCCTTCCTATTTGGTTTTTAAGACTGGATCTCATATAGCCTGGCTGGCCTCAAACTCACTATGTAGCTAGAGCTGATCTTGAACTCTTGACTGCTACTGTCTCCCCAGTATTAGAATTATAGGCATTGTGCTACTGTGCCTGGCTCACCTTTTCATGTTTTCAAAAGACATTAGCATTTCTAAGACCTATTTTCTTATTCTTTCAAAACTTTTTCTTTTGAATTGTTAACCGTACAAGACTTACTGATAACTGGGCCTAGGCGTAATGGCTGAGGCCTGTAATCACATCTTTTATCATATTGAGGTAAGAGGATCTGGAGTTCAAGACCAGCATCTGTTATATGAGAGCCTGTCTTCAAAAAAAAAAAAAGAAGCAAGCCACAGGGCATGTAGCTCAATTGGTAGCATGCTTATCCAGCATCCTAAAAGCCTAGGTTTGCACCACATAAACTTGATATAACAGTACAATTCTGTAATCCCAGCACTCAGAAGTTGGAGACAGGAAATTCAGAATCATCTTCATATATGCAGTGATTTCCAGACCAACCCTGGCTATACAAGATCCTGTAACAAAAAAAGAGTCCCTGGTTTGCAGGAGTTATTCATATAATCTCTTTGTATTTGAGATGAGGCTCAATTTTCTTCTTTTGTTTGGCAATTGCCTTTTGGATTTTATGACTTTGCTTTTCTTTAATTATAGTTTTTGTGGTTCTGGATTTTTGTACCAGTCACAAAACCTCCGCATTCATAGTGCTTCTAGGCAAGGTTCATCTTGGCATCCGAATGAAGTACCTCCAATGGGGAGAGGAGTTTTGCTAGCTTGGGCTTATGACTTTATTTTCTGTGGATCTCAGCCTTGTTGGGAATCTAGGTCACCGTTAGAACTGGAGCAGCCTAATCTCACACTCTCTGTAAGTGGTTCTCTACAGGGAAAGGAAGTAAGGCCAGACATTGAATGAGCTGGCTCTTGCCCCATCTCTCGGCAACCTTTACTCCAGGGATAGACTATAGCAGAAGAGATTTTTGTGCCCTTTGTTCTCAGGGAGTAGGTGTTTGGGTGACAGAAGCTCTTTGTTGGTGTCAAGGGAAAGGAAACCAAACGTTAAGGACTGTTTCCTTCCACCAATCATCAAGGCCCCTCTCCTTAGATTGCTTCAGCACAGGACAAGTGCTCCTAGAACTGCTGGGATCGCAGGGAGAGTGCAGGGCAGTGTTCATCCTCAACGGCATCGCCCTTCAGGACTCTTCAGAATGGAGTCCCGGCTGTCTCAGCTGAGCCATGTATGTTTAAAATAGTTTTAAAAACACATTTGCTTAGGATAATTCTCATTGACTCTCCACTCTTTAGGGATAGCCAGGCAAGAAGAAGAAGGAAAGGCTGCTGTGGGTGTGACAGGAAATGACATCACTACCCCACCAAACAAGGAGCTACCACCAAGCCCAGAAAAGAAAGCAAAGGTAGGTGCTTGAATGAGTGGTAGTAATCCTTTTCTGTAATTTTTAAAGTCAGGACCTTCTGCTATTACTGCTTGAATCATAAATGCACTGTCTTTTTTTCTGAGCTATCTTGTCTTTCTTCAAATTTAGATGTTCTTAGAAAGTATATTCCTATTTTCTCACATGGCCTATCCCAAATGTTAAAAACCTCTTGCCCTTGCACTTATAGTATATCTGTGTAAAATGTTCATTACATATTTGTTTTCTGTGCTGGAGGTTGATCCTAGGGTCTTGTGTTTCCAGGCAAGCACTCTGCTACCATGCCCATGGCTTTTTCAGACCGTGTCTTGATATGCTCACCATAGTCAATGTATAAATGACTTCCCTTACTAACAACAAAAAGCAATTGTAGACTTATCTGAAATCTGTTCATGAAAAGGAAATGAAGGTTTTCCAGATAGTTAATAGGTTCAAAACTTCCTCTTGTACTTCATAAACACATAGGTGCTGCATTTTAGGTACAGTTATGCTGTCTTGTCAAGACATAGGTAAGAAATCAGGGTGTGGTGCCTGTACCTGTAATCTTAGCAGTTTGGAAGCCTGAGGCTAGAGGATCTTGAGCTGTATGCCATCCTGGATAAAATAGCTAGATCCTGTTTTAAAAAAAATGAAGTAAGATCCAGTCAGTATTGATTTAATTACTTGCTGATGGCTTTATTTATAGAAGAAAATTATAGTTTCTATCTCCATCTTGGTATCACTTTGCTTTTTTACTGAGCTCAGAAGAAAGGAATGCTAATTTTCAGTTGCATCAATCCTCATTGTTTATAATTTTACTTTGAATTGTGCAATTTATACTTTATTTTAATTTGTTTTTATTCTTGTCTGTGTGTTTGATGTTCTTTAAAAATTAAAAATTAAAAATTAAACAACCATCAACCTAAAGCCTTTGGCCACCACTCAACCTGCCAAGACTTCAACATCGAAAGCCAAAACACAGCCCACTTCTCTCCCTAAGCAACCAGCTCCCACCACTTCTGGTGGGTTGAATAAAAAACCCATGAGCCTCGCTTCAGGCTCAGTGCCAGCTGCCCCACCCAAACGCCCTGCTGCTGCCAGTGCTGCTGCCAGGCCTTCCACCCTACCTGCCAGAGACCTGAAACCAAAGGTGAGTAGCCACCCATCTCTGCCAGGAAAAGATGCCCGCTGAGCTTCAGGTCAATACCCAGGCTCTTTGTTGCTACAGATGATGAACTGGTGGACCTGGAAAAGGGTAGGGAAAGGGCAAATAGGTGCTTTGAACATCAGTTTGGATGCCCAATGGTGAGATCATAGCACTTAAAAACCTTTTATTCTTTTTACCTTTGTCTGACCTGGTCAGAAGCAATATTCCATCTACTTTCATTCTTTTCTCTCTTTCTTTCTTTCTTTCTCTCTTTCTTTCTTTCTTTCTTTCTTTCTTTCTTTCTTTCTTTCTTTCTTTCTTTCTTTCGTTCTTTCTTTCTTTCTTTCTTTCTTTTGTTCTTTCGTTTCTTTCTTTCTTTCGTTCTTTCTCTTTTTCTCTCTCTCCTTCCTTCCTTCCTTCCTTCCTTCCTTCCTTCCTTCCTTCCTTCCTTCCTTCCTTCCTTTCTTTTTTTTCCCCAAGACAGGGTTTCTCTGTGTGGCCCTGGCTGTCCTAGAACTTGCTCTGTAGATCAGGCTGGCTTCAACTCAGAACTCAGAGAGAGATCTGCCTGCCTCCAACTCTGAGTGCTGGGATTAAAGGAGTGCACCACCACCACCACCACCACCGCTTAGCTTCTTCCTTCTTCTTAACTGTTCCTTACTCTTCACCTAGTTATGTCCTTTCATCAGTTTCCTATACTTCATAGACTAATCAGATATTGTTTGAGATGGGTCACAATTTGTATTTAGAATTCAATTATTTGCTTTTCTCTTTAATCACCCTTTAGAATAAAGTTTTCCCATTATTTAGCAACATGCTGACCTTTCCAGCTGAGCTCAACAGGGTCCAGGATCATATTGTCACTGGGCTACTTGTGATGTTCATCCTTCCAGTTCCCAGTTAGTGCTGTCCTTGCTTTCAGATATTCCTGGAGGAGGAGAAGGAGGAGGAGATGGTGAAGGCTGTAGCTGCTACTGGCTTCCCTGAGTTCTTGTTCTATTTGAGAAGAGCCTTTAGCTTAGCCTCTTTATCTTCAAATTCATGGTGGGAAAGGGTTCCCATGGTCAGGTGATAGTGTTCTACTTAAAGTTACTGTAGGGATTGTAGTCTTAAACTGGAACCCTGGCTAAGAAGCTGAGAAATCCTGTCAGAGACTAGAAATGGTGTTGTCTCGTAGGCTTTCTCTCTGAACATTGTCTGTCTGGTTGGCTCCCATTCTGGATCTTTAGGAAACGATTTGATTAAGAGGGTAGAAGGAAGGTGACTGGTGTCCTGGACAGTAGGTCCTCACTAAGGCTTCGGACAAGGAAAAGGAGGCTGCCGGGATGTGTAAGTGTACTAGACTAGTTTCTTTTCTCTTCTCTCTTGGTTTTCCAATACAGGTTTCTCTGTGTAGCCTTGGCTGTCCTGAAACTGTAGACCAGGCTGGCCTCGAACTCAGAGATCAGCCTGCCTCTGCCCTCCAAGTGCTGGGATTAAAGGCCACCACTGCCTGGCTATATACTAGTTTTTTGATACATTTAATTCCTTGGATATTCTCAACCATCCATAATATAAATATTGTTAACTGCATTTTTTAATTCTGGAAGTTTAAGCTCAGTCAAGTTGCCTTCCTAAATCAAGTCCATGCCAGTAAGTGACAGAGGCAAGGTTTGAGCCTACTTCTAACCACATTTCTCATATTTGGACCCCTACAACACTGTTGTATTATGGCTTTTTGCTATGTGGTGTTTCAACAGCAGTTTATAGGCAACTGGCTTAAAGATGTTTAACCAAGCCCAGCGTGCAGGAGGTTGAGGTGGGAAGGTTATGAGTTCCAGGCTAATTTGAGCTACATAGCTTAAAAGAGTAACCAGTATTATAAGTGTTCCTGTTGTTTGTCTTTCAGATAGACAGTTTAAAACATTTTAAGAGAGTGATGCACTAAAGTCTAGTTAGGCCATTTTGGCCCTTAAAGTAGATTTACAGAAGCATACTATAAATGGAAAATGGAAAACCTGTTCAGAAAAAGAAATGGGAACCAACAATTTAACTGTGGCTAAAAGAGCAGTCTATCCCAGCAACTTTTGACGTCTGATAGAAATAATAAAGCTCTGTTAGATTGTTCTTAACCATAGTTACAATGTTTGCTTTGGTCCTCAAAATGTTTTATTTTGCTGGGCGGTGGTGATGCATGCCTTTAATCCCAGCACTCGGGAGGCAGAGGCAGGCAGATCTCTGTGAGTTCAAGGCCAGCCTGGACTACAGAGTGAGTTCCAGGACAGGCACCAAAGCTCCACAGAGAAACCCTGTCTCGGGGGAAAAAAAAAAAGGTTTGTTTTGTTTTGTGACAAAGACTCACTGTGTAGCTCTGACAAGCCTGGAACACACTATATAGAGCAGACTGGCACCAGACTAGTAGAGATCTGACTATGCTCTGCCTGGTCCTCATTTCTTGAACAGGGTCTGGAGAGATGGACCAGGGGTTAAAGAGTGCACACTGTTCTTCAGAAGACCCAAGTTCTGTTCAAAGCATCCACATTGGGTCTCTGCAGGCACCTACACATACATACCACACACACACACACACACACACACACACACACACACACACACACACGCTGGTGAAATGGTTCATTGGTTAAGAGCACTTGTTACTTTTGAGAACCTCAATTCAGTTCTCACACCAACATAAGTGGTTTATAACCATCTGTTCCTCCAGTTCCAGGGGGCTCTGAAGCCCTCTTCTCACTTTCCATGGATATGGTGCATGCATATGGTGCACGTACGTACATTCAGGCAAAGCATTCATACACCTAAAATACATAAATCTAAAGGAAATCAAAGTAAAATTCCAGAGCAAACTGAAAAGGATGCAGGTTCCTCATTCTGACCCTGAGGTTCTCCGTAGGCAGTTAGACTTGATTTGATAGGATACTAGCCTGTAATTCTATTTTTATTATTATTTTTGTTTGCTTTTTGAGACAGAGTTTGTTTGTGTAGCCCTGACTGTTCTGGAACTCACTCTGTAGACCAAACTGTTTTGTGTCTTTTGGTTTCTCTTTTCTCCCCCTTCCTGACAACCTTAATTTCTAACGCTGCCTTAACTGTCTCTTATTTGAACGTTGTCCTGTGCCTGATGTTGGTTACGCGTGGCCCTTTTTGTCATCTCTCTTCTGTCTTCCCATGTTCTGATTCCCTAATACCACATCATCAAAACTTGGCTGCAACAATGCTGTTTTCTGATCGTTATTCAGATAAAGAAGTAAAGCGGCCGGGCGGTCGTGGCGCACGCCTGTAATCCCAGCAGTTGGGAGGTAGAGGCAGGTGGATCTCTGTGAGTTCAAGGCCAGCCTGGTCTACAGAGCTAGTCCAGGACAGGCTCCAAAGCTACAGAGAAACCCTGTCTCAAAAACCGC